TATAGCTCTTACATCGTTGTCCGTCTGTGCCGGTCCACTGCTGCCTCCTGTGGTCAGTTTCAGATGCGGCCATTTAGGCAGCAGTGAAAACTCCTGTGTCGGTTTGAGGCTGAAGCCGATGGGTTTCCTCTGTAGAGCAGAGATGATTCAAGCACTTATAGTCACTTACCCTCCCGTGTCACGACTGCAGAGTGTGTGAACAGACGACAGGCACGGACTGAAGATGCTGCTGTTGAAATGAATCCAACCTGGTTTTGTTTCTCTTCTTCCTTTTCTCCCTGATGTTTTTGCTCCTTTATGTTCACGCTGCATCTGCTGACAGGTGATGCTCAGCAGAGGTGGAAAGTAAATACTTACATCTGTCTCTCTCTCTCTCTCTCTCTCTCTCTCTCTCTCTCTCTCTTCAGGCTGCTGTTTTGTCACATTTTACACCAGGAAATCTGCCCTTGAAGCCCAGAATGCACTGCACAACATAAAGACCTTAACAGGGGTGAGTGAGTGATTCGTCCGTCTTTCTGCTCGATCTCATGTCGTTTGAATATGTGTTCTACCGCTCTGCATTCGTCAGAGTTCCAGTGACGAAAAGTGGAAACGGTTTAAGGTTCAAGTGTTGCACTTTGTTTCCTGACTCACCCAGGAACGCTGCACCTCCCAGAGGTTTTTCCTTTAACAAAATGACTATCCTCAGAAACACTGGTTCCCTAGTGTAGCGGTAATCATGTCTGCCTTACATGCAGAAGGTCCTGGGTTTGAGACTCACACTTTGAATTTCCCCTCAAATAAGGGACAATCAGTCAAAATCAGTTTGTTATTCTATCTTGTGCCATTGGTAGCACTAATGCTAACATGCTAACATCAAAGGTGGAACTTGTTTTTCTTCCCCCTTTACATTCAAGTATGCATTTAGCAGACGTGTTATCCAAAGTCGTCTTCAAGAGGAGGTTTAACGATCAGGCTACCTCTTGACAACAGACCACGAGTTCGGAAAGCCGGGTTTCCAGAGGGTGAGGGTGCGAAGGTGGAGACTGAGAAGGAAAGTTCTAGGACAGGAGCTGCTCTCTGAAGAGCTCAGTCTTCAAGGTCTTCTTAAAGATAGTCAAGGACGCCCCTGTTCTGGTAGATACTCGGTACGTAGAACATTCCACCAGCGGAAATGTCCCCTGGACTGTCGTTCGAAGGGGTAAGAACTACTAGACAACATCACCCTGGACAAGTGGATGGTCCTGGGTCTGACTTAGTACTTTATCAAAGTACTTACGTTGGTTGGAGCAGACCTGCTGTTAGGCTAGCATTAGCGATTTGAATTTGATGCTGTTAGCTATGGGTAGCCGGTGTCGTTTGATGAACAGAGACATGTGACATGTACTCTGTTTTACTCATGTTTTACTTCATGACTTTATAACTCATCCCTTCATCTCTCCTACATGATACACTAATAAGTCAAACAGTGAAACTGCATTTTCTAAAAACCTTAAAGCTAGCAGCTAAACGACCAACGACAAAGCTAAAGGGTTGTTCAAGTGACGCTGGATTGTGTTCAACATCTGATATAAACTTAAACGATCTCTAAATTAAGATTGCTGCCCCCTATTGATGGAACATCCAGTAATCTTTCCCCGATATAAGGTCAAATTAGGTGAGAGTTGTCATGAACAGACCTGCGTTCGGTCACACCCAGTTTGACTGATACAGCTTGGGTTTTTTTTTTAGCACCTGCACATCTTTTTACAACCACCGCGCCCATGCAAAGCCTGCTGATCACGACTCCTCCGTTATTGTTCCCTCCTGACTCCCAGAGCAGCGATTTAGGAAGTAGGTCGATGCTTCTTCTCACTCCTCTGTCAGTTTCAGCCCCGGTTGAGTTTGTTCAGTCCCTCAGATCCTTCCGGCTCCTGAATTTGGCTGCGCTGGCTAACTGGAGCCTCATCAGTGGAAGGCTGAAGGGTCTGGACGCTCTTTGCTTCTGTCACTTGGATCAGTGATAGCCCTCCTGGGTAGCCCTAGGAAGGATGGAACAAATCCCACCCTCCCTTTTCCACAAGCATTATATCTGAAGGTTTTTTTTTTTTTTTGCTCCCCGATTTGTCGCGAAGAGTGTGTTATTTTGTACAGACTCACCGTGTTAATTGCTTTGTGGCCCAAGTGTCTAGAATTTGCTCAGTTTTCCTGGTGCTGTGAGAGTTGGCTGCTTGTTTCCCCATTGGAGGTGTGAAGATGCCCTGGGGAGGGCGCCGCAGTCACTGCAGCACTTTGAGGATTAAAGGGGCATGTAATCGTCTTCTTCTCTTCCTTCGTTGCGACACTCTCTCCTTCCCGTCTGTATTCTGGTCGCTGCAGCTGCTTCCGCTCTCATTATCGTGAATTGTGGTTGCGAATACAAGTGTTTTTCACGCGAGGTTCCACCAGGTTGACTGGACGGATTTTAGTGAAAGAATTTAAAACTCTGCTTCAATATCAACGTTTCTTCTTTGTTACCACCAAAGTAAAATGATGCAACCGCGTCCACTTGGCTTGATGTTTCGTTTTGGTCCAAAACTAAGGCCCGGGGGCTGGATATGGCCCATTTAGCTTTTTATCCTGGCCCGACAAACTTTTCCAAATTATATAATTATACATTATACATATTTTCGTTATGCTACTGCCTCTTCCCTGCAGTACCCACGTTTCCCCAATAGATTGCGTAGAAAATGATAAAAAAAAAACATTTTATAATTTTAGTCTTTATGCACGACTTTTACATGTCAAACATCAACACCTCACAGAGACAGAATGTTAAAAATCAATTCAGGATTTTCTTTCTGTCTTTCTATAAAGTCCTGGTAAAGTTCAACACAAATGAAAGAAAAAGTCTTAACTTTGTCAGTTGGCTCAGTCAGCTAACTGTGAATCTGGTCATTGGCTTTTCTTTATTCAACTCATTCCACTGGCAAACATGTGGCTGTCGCCATCTTGTGGAATCGACTGAAAATGCAGGCAGTAGACAAAATGAAGGCAGCCATTACTGTAAGACCGGGTAGGAGTGGGCAAACTGTTTGGCTCACGGCTCAAAATGAGGCTCAAAATGTTGAAGACAATTCTGCACATTTGTGCCATCTAGTGGCATTAACTCAAATTACAATCAATTCATTGCAATTCTTGAAACAGAAGGAATTAAATCGGTCTTTACCATTTACGGTTTGACGGACCGTATTAGAAAGCCCAGTGGGCTGTATCTGGCCCACGGGCCGTAGTTTGTCAGTCAACTCCTCTTTATTCTTCACAGTTATGAACGTCCCATGTTGAGGAGCTTGAAACTATTGGTTGAACAGGTGACAACACTGATCACCGGGAGAATGTGTGCGTAATCATGGCCTACAGTATTAACCCTGACGGATCTGGACAGGAAGACGCAGCCGACGGTCGCTTTTCTAATAAAGTCTGGTACTGATGGACGAATACGAATCGGAGCGGCAGAATCAGAGGTGACACGATGACAGATCAGTGAAGGGAAGAGCCTTAAAGTCATTCACTTTAAACAGGCGCCACGGCAAATTCAAAATGACCCCGGACAGTAAAACCCAGAGGAGGAGGAGGAGGAGGAGGAGGAGGATGAAGGAGGAAGCTGCAATAATTGCTGAGTGAAGTGAGTGCAGACATAAGCAGAGGTGAACAAAGGTGATGAGCGGACGGACAGAATAAAAAAAGATTGTGTTTGGAGCACTTCAGAGAGCTGGAGGCCAAAGTAATAAAAACAGCCACAGTTAAAAACCAATAGCTGCTTATTAACTTCCACACTCTGTCGGCTTGTAAAAAGCCCGTGGAACAATGTTTGTATTGGCACTCGCTCTCACCTCCACTCACCCTGTTTATACTCGGGGAAAAAAAAAAAACACACACACACACAGACAGACACAGATGTGGAGAAGAAAAACTGGACAGAGGCCAAAGAGGAAGAGAAACAAGTGCAGACTGGCAGCCATGTTGCTGCAAGAGTTCTGTTTTCACGTTTAAAAAAAAAGAATAAAAACAGAACAAAGAAAAGACGTTCATTGACGAACTGATTCTAAAACGGACAAAATGACAGAATTGGAATTTTATTTCTCATTTTTATTTCTACACTCCTTATTTATTACTCCGTATTTCCCCCTTATTTATTTAGATTTTTTTTTTGCTTTCTCAATGTTTTTACGTTTTATTTAGATTTTATATTTATTTTATTTATTTATTTATTTATTTTTTTATGTGGCGTTTTGTTGCCCCGTATCGGTGTTTTTACGTGGCGTTTAAAGAACAGTGGCCCCAAAAAGGTCTTCCAGCCGTACTTTTGACACCACCAGAGCTTTTGGCACTTGATTTTAATATTAGTTTTCTAATAATTTTCTCAATTTTCTCCTTCCATTCATTCTCGTTTCACTCACTGGCTGTGAAATCTGTGCCTGTTTAGTTGAACACCAACCAGATATACTCGGGGAATTGAGTAAAGAACACACGAAGATCTTCTTCTCCAAAATCTCTCTCTTTTTTTTTTTTTAGTGTTTGTAGCTATCTGCTGCCACCTAGTGGACGACTATCTAATTGTTCTGATTGTCACTGACACAGACGGATGTTATTTGTAAATACTGTTGAATCATTTGTACTTTTCCTTTGTTAAACTGGGGCAAAAAAAACAAAAAAAAAACAGATTTGATCCTGATCCACAGAAAAGTGGTTTTTTTAACGTCTCGTTGGGGGGGGGCAGAGGGGGGGCAGAGACCGTGCACGTGCACAGGACCCCCACCATAAATTGCAGAAAAACACATCCTGTCCCTGCTGTGATTTAAAGCGGGGAGACAGGAAACACACACAGATTTTCCACCAAACTGAACTCTTTCATTAGCAGCTGTCACATGTTTAAACGCCTCACTGTCGTCCCTTTCTTTTTTTTCTCCTCCCCCTAATGCCTAAAGTGGGGGGGGGGGGGCGGGGGGGCGCCCCCCCCCCCCGCCTCTAAATTCCTATGAAAACATGGGGAAAAAAAATATGAAGGAAAAGGAACAAAGACCAAATGAGAGACAGGAGTTCATCCTGTCTCTCCTTCTTCCTCCTCTGTCTTTTTTCCTATCTCTCTCTCTCTCTCTCTCTTCTTCGTTCTCCCCTCACCGACATTTCTCTTTTGCTCTTTCATTTTTTACTAAGTAAAAAAAAAAAGAAAAAAAAACAAGATAAAAAGCTTTTTCATTCACGTGTTCTCAAGGATTTTCGTTCCGAGAGTAAAGGCAGAGGGAGCTGAGTGATGATGAGAGTGCTGCTGGTTTCATATAAGTGTGTGTGTGTGTGTGTGTGTGTGTGTGTGATGCTTTAGGCAGCAGTAGTTGAACACCAACCCCCTCCAAACTCCAAAGACTCTCCTCCGCCCACGTGAGTGGATCAGAGCGTTTGTAGAGCTGCAGGTTTGAAGCTGCTCTGTGTGTGTGTGTGTGTGTGTGTGTGTGTGTGTGTTCATTTGTTTATTGTGTGATCTCTGACGAGGGG